GAAGGGCGAAGAAAAAAGAACCGAAAAAAAAAAAGCCGAAATTGGAACCAAAGAACGAGCGACAAAAAAGAATGATAAAGAAGAACCAAAACAAAGAAGTTGAAAGAACGATTAAAAAAAGAGAACCAAAAAAAACCCAAAAAAGAGAAAAATGAAAGAATATGACAAAAGAACAATTGAAAACGAGCAAAATGAGGGGGGGGGGGGCCTCATTGGATTTCATGGAGTTGCCAGACCTGTGGGGAATGACAAAACAAAAGGACTTTTGTTTTTATTTTATGTTGAGAAAAATGAAGATTTTTGTAGTGTTTATTTGCGTTTTTTTATGTGTGTCTCATGTGTGCGCAATGTGATGTGAGTGTTCCATGCCTGGTGGTCTCACTGCATATACATGAGTGCGCTCAACTTCATCAACGCGGCGACGCGGCGAGGCTTGTGTCGGCGTGTACGTGAGAGGCACGGTGGAGGGGGGAGTTAAAAGAAGAAGAAAGTGTGTGAGTGGTGTGTCTGTGGTGCGTGGGAGAGCGTTGGCCTTAGGGCGTTGTTAGAAACTCCTTGGGGACGTGAAATCCACAAGGACGCTCTCGTTCCACCTGTCCTTGGGGACGGAATTGAAAAAGAAATGTGAAGACGCCACAAGGAAAATTCCTTGTGGCATCCTTGTGGCCCCAGCCATTTCTTTCTCTTGCGAGGTCCCTTGGGCACAAGGAATCCGCGTTTCACGGAGAGGAGAGGACACACTGGTAGATAGACGTTACAGCTGAGAATCTGGATCGTGGCGGCACCCTATTGGCTGAAGGCCTGAAGCACAACTGTTTTTTTTATTTTTCTTTTCTATTTTTTTTTCTGACATCAGTCTTAGGAAATGTCCTCGGGCGACGTCCCCGAGGACAGGTGGAACGAAGAACCCAAATTCCCTTACGAGCCACAAGGAAAATTACTTGTAGCGCAAGGAACTCCTAAGGAGTGTCTAACGAGGCCCTTAGACACTGCGGTTACTGTGTGGGGGTGAGAGAAGATGATAAGGGAGGCGCGGCCACTGGCAAAATGCTACCGTCTTCACCGGAAGAGAACGCCCGGTGATTATAGCTGTATTTGGCACAGCTTTCAGCCCAGATACGGCGATAATTACTGGGCGTTCTATTCGGGTGAAGATGGTAGGCCTTTGTGTTAGCCAGGCCCCCACGGGCGGTGGCAATCCTGACGATCGGAAAGATGCAATTCCCCTTCATTATTGTGAGAGGTAGCTATGTTTGTTTGCAGGGGTCCCCTGCATAGCCTTAGGAGTAGTGGCAGGTAGGTTAATGAAAGGTGAATTTGAGAGAAGAATATAGGTTAGTTAAAGAGAAAAAAAAAGGATTGAAAAAGCAAAAACACTATCCCTGAATAATAATCCTTGTGATAACGACAATCCCTCCCTCCTCACGAATTTGAAAGATAGAAATGTAGCCTATGGGCTGGTTTTACTGTGGTAAAATTTTGGCAAGCTAAATGAGTCTCAGTGATTTGTGCACTTTTGCCTGTTTCCCTTCTGTCTTCATTTATTATTATTATTATTATTATTATTATTATTATTATTACTTTATTTTTTTCATGATAACCGCGGACCCGGACACCGGACACTTCCGGACTGTCTTCTGGTGATTATTACTTTATTATTGTGTCTGGACCTCTAGGCCATGTCCAGTGGGGTGAAAGGACGGTTAAAAATCACCCAGTTATTTTTTCGAGGGGCGGCTAGGACCTGAAGAACGTCCTGGGCTGCCCCATTTTTTTTTTTGATTTTTGCCCCAGGGGCCTCCATCCAGACATGGGGACCGGACACCGGACACCGGACACCAGACACCGGACACCGGACACCAGACACCGGACACCGGACTGTCTGGAACCCGGTCCGGACGTCCGGGCGGTTACCATTTATTATTATTATTATTATTATTATTATTATTATTATTATTATTATTATTATTTTATTGTTATTATTATTACTACTACTACTACTACTACTATTGTTGTTATTATTATTATTATTATTATTATTATTATTAGAAGTTAGAATACTAATTTGATGCAAAACTGGTGCAAAACAACAGGGTCTTGCAGAGTTACGGAATCTCCAGAAGTGGCTGCCTGTTGGAGGGATCGTTAACATGTAAGTTATCAACTTATGTTAAAAGCCTGACCCCCAGTTTTGTTAAAAGCTTGACACGCAATTTCTTAACCGCTTGACAGCTTGAACCCCCAATTCTGTTCCCAAAGCTTTGTATCCGCCACATTGGGTCTTTTTGAGCTGCACTACTGGTGGCCAAATGTTAAAAGAATGGTGACTGTATCCATCCATTAAAACTGGAAGGATGCATGCGCTCAATTTTTTTATTTTTTTTTAATATCTTCAACTTTCCTGCCAGCTTACATTACGGTGCGCTCTTGCGAGCCACGCACCGGCTGAGGTGGCTTGCGTACGCTGAAAAGTTGCTTCACTTGCAGTTCTTTATGCCCTTTGTCTAGGAGTGGAGCAAGGCCCATTGCCTGTATGGAGACCCACTATCGTTAAATGCTACTTGCCCTTCAGCTGTGATCCGTGTTTCTCCCATGTGGAAAAGGACATCCTTTCTAGGATACTAGGGCCACCCGGCAGGGCACCCCTGCACATTTTTGTTTGTCAGGATACATTACGAATGCAGTGTAGTGGAGCGAGGTCCTCTCTCTCTCTCTCTCTCTCTCTCTCTCTCTCTCTCTCTCTCTCTCTCTCNTCTCTCTCTCTCTCTCTCTCTCTCTCTCTCTCTCTCTCTCTCTCTCTCTCTCTCTCTCTCTCGTTCGCTCGCTCGGTCGCTCGCTCGCTCACTCTCAATGCGATGACGTGGCAGTGCGATTTCGAAATTTGGGTGTCCAGTTCAGCCACATTGCGGTGTGAATGGGCGTGGGCATTCCGCAAAGTTGGCAACTGGTAGGGGGGGGCAAACCGGATCAAAATGGATGCAGGCTTGGCTGTCTGGGGAGAGAGGGGCAGGGCACAAAATTTGTGCACATGGACCTACAGGAGTACAAGGCAAATATTTTGGTGCAAGAGAGGGCAGTCCGCTCTACGCACATCTCTTAGGGGCAATTTTGGCATTTATCTCATCTTTGGGAGGTGTATATTGCAAATTTGAAAATTTCCGTAGTGTCATACTATTAATTTATTAAATTATATATTATCATTTTTTTATTATTTATAATATTGATAAATTTATTATTATATAATAATTTATATTGTAATGACCCGCCATAACAGGGACTGAGAACACTGCTGATTTCTGAGTTCTGCCGATGGAATGGATGCCTTGCTGAGATTCCCGCATTCTGCTGGGTTTTCTAAGTCTGTGTGTGAGCGTGCTTGATGACCTGCATGCCTGTCTGAGCGCTTGTCGGCATGAGTGTGTGTGTGACCCGCAAGGGTACTTGCTTGTTTGGAAGGCCCGTAGGGCCGGTACTTACCTGTGGCCCACGACACTTAGAGTAGGGGAAAACACTCAAGTGGTGGAGCTAGAGGCCCACGACACTTAGAGCAGCGGAAAAACACTCAAGTAGCAGGTAGGCCGGTACCGCACCCAGTAGCAGTAGATGTGCCAGGTACTCGAGGCCGAGCAGAAGAAGACAAAGTTGGCATTTTTAGAGGCCCAGACTGAGTAGTGGTAGGCTAGGTCTAGGCCGGTACCAGTCCATCCAGTCTGAGTCTAGAGCCTGTACGGGCAATATCAGAGTCCGCAATGATGTTTCCCTCCGAAAGGGAGGAGGTACCGGTTGCTTGGGAGGACGAGCGGCCTGGAAGTCACCACCCAGGAGGCAAGTAGGCCGCTATATCAAGAGGCCGAGGGAAGAGCCCGGCCTCATTCTTCAGTGTGCAAGTTTGGCGACACGCTGCTGGAGCGCTGGCTGGAGGAGCGCTGGCTACTACAGCGCTGCTGGGAGGAAGAAGTCGGGAGCTTCCACCTTGGCTATGGTGGAGCTCTACCGATAGGAGGAGGAGGGAGAAAGGGACCGAGGAGGAGAGTGGCGAGGTACCTACCTGGCTATGGTGGACACCATCTTCATCACCTTGGTGGGCGCTGCATCTGGAAGCCCCCAGTTGGGGTAGTGCCGCATCAAGGAAGCTCGGGACAGAGTCAGGCATGGCGGTTCAGTGGGCAGCGGCATAGCTGCCTGGTGTTGACCTTGTAACAGGAGGGCAGCGACATAGCTGCTTTGGGTTGTCCTTTGGACAGGAGGGTAGAGCCCTTAGTCCGCCATAGCCTCGGCCTTCATGAAGAGGAAGAGGAAGGGTGGCCATGGCTATGGTGGGCATCATGTTGTGCCTGCAGTAGAAGTGGGATTCGGACATTGATTCTGGTTCAGCCATTCAACATTATTATTGTTATTTCTTGTTTGAATAAAAGGGGAGGAGATAAGGAGGAGGAGATTGGTTGGCGAAGAAGAAGAGCATTATCTCTGGTCTATGCTGGAGTACATCATCTTCTTCTTCTTTCTTACTTCTTCTTCTTCTTCTTTCCCTCTCTCTCCTCTCAAGTTCATTCATTTCTTTTTGCAATTGGACGGCATTCTACTTTCTGATGAATGTATACTTCAAAATTGGCCAGGATCGTAACAATATTAATCATTGTGATTTCTTATGATATGATATTATGATGTTATGTATCTCTTGTTTCCTTGCAGACCAGTTGTCGGAGCTTCGTCATTGTTGTGGCCAGTTGTGGTGGTACACTCAATGGTGTGCAAGTTAACACGCGATGCCAAACAATTCTCAATGGTCTGCCATGATTTGATGTAATTTCATAATATTCATATGCTATGATGTAATTTCATATGGGGTTTCTGCCAGTACTAATACTCTGTGGTAACCCCACAAACTGTTCAAAAAACAAAAAAAAAGAGAGCTCGAATCCAGATGGACGGTCATGGACCTAGATGAACGGATTTCCTGAATTACCTGGAGCCGGTCAGTTTCACGATGATATCTGAAGGCCATCGCCCTTTTCTTTTCTTAAAAAAAAGAAAAAAAAAAAGAAAAAAAAGTGGTGTTAATAATTATAATGCTTCTGATATGATGTTATGTACCTCTTGTTTTGCCCTTGCAGACCAATTGTCGGATCCTTCATAGCTGGGTTTCTGCCGGTATTGATACTCAGTAGTGCGATCTACGTATTGCCGGGGATTCTGTACTACCTGTCGTACCTGGAAGGCTTTCATTCCTACAGCAAAATCGAGCGAGCGGCATCTGGCAAGCTCATCTTTTTCTATGTCGTCAACACTTTCTTTGCATCGGTAGTTTCGGGTTCGGTGCTGAGTGAGCTGGACAGGTTCCTTGACGCACCCAAACTAATCCCGGAAAGACTTGCAGTTGCTATTCCAGGCAAGGTGAGACGGCATTACGGAACACAGAGGTTCAAGGAACTTAAGTTATTATTACAAATACAAAACAGTCAAAAGACTCAAAACTAAGAATGATGTCAAAAAAAAAAAAAAACAGAATAATAAAAGAAAGAAGAGGAAATTAGTAAACCACGAATCAGTAGTTAGTAGGTACTAATTAGTAATCAGTACTAATCACTAGTTAGTAATTTAGTAATCAATCAACTGGGGGGTCTGGGAAACACTGGTAGCATCAGGATTCAAGCGGGACTGTGCAGGAGCTATTTTGCTCTCTCTTCTTCTCCATCTCTCTCTCTCTCTCTCTCTCTCTCTCTCTCTCTCTCTCTCTCTCTCTCTCTCTCTCTCTCTC